TATTATTACTGTTAGCATCAAGGGACCAAGGCTATCCAGGGTATCTCTGAGAAGCGAAGAGAAGAGGGCTAGACAACCAGTGGGTTGTGGCGGGTTTCCTGGCCCTGGTGAGCACGTCTGCCAGCAGCGCTAGAGCTCTGAGCTCCTGCAGCAAATCTGGCTGAAGGTGGGCACGTGGCAAGTGGACTGGCTGGTGAAGAACAGGCAGAGCAGAAGCCTCCTTTTCTCTCCAGTCTCTGGAAGACTCCTGAGAGGTTGGAGCAGCGCGAGCTAGGAGCGTTTCAGGGTGGACTGGCAGGCAGGTATGAGTGTGCCAGCTTACCAATCTAGGCATCCCAGGCATGATCCCTGTCCACAGAGGGTGGCTCCAGCCTCAGCACTTGTGGACAGACTATGTCCCCTTTTCTGCACCACCTGGAGGGAAAGCTGAAGACAACTCACTAGCCTGTGAGTTTCCATGTCCTAGAAATGCACACCAAACAATCACTTCTCTGGGAAGACCTGATCTAGAACCCCCGTGCCTTACGCATGTGTTTCCCACCGTGGCCTCTGCCCTTTTGCCATTTCCTCTGGGGACCCAATTGGTCCTCACTAAGGATAGAGGTCTCACAGGGCAGCAGACGCTTAAACTGGGGCCTGAATTCCTGCTTACTCACTGGCATCATTTATGACAAGGAGCTGGTAAGCCATTTGAGGGCAGGGACGGTAATGCCACTGTGTAGTCATTTTGTCATTTCTGAGTGTCCATTGTGAGAGTGCACGGCAGTTGCTGGGTAAATGCTTACTGGAAGAGACAGATGGAGGAATTTCCTGTTCTACAGATTCTCCCTCACTTTTTTTTTTTTTCTGTATTTTCGGGAAGGGCCTATAGGGTGTTCAGGGTCTCACTACTAGATTGGACTCATAGTGATCCACCTGTTTACAGCCTCCCAAGAGCTGGGATTACAGGCAGGCGCCACCATGCCCAGTCTCAAGTGCCAGCTCAGTGTGCCCCGGGGGCGGGGCCAGCACAGCAGGCCTGGGGATCGAACCCTGGCCCCTGTGCCTGCTTGCAGGTGCTTTAATCCACTGAGCTATTTGACCAGCCCTTCAAACTTTTTCTTTGATACTTAATTTTATTAAACCAACTACTGCTTCTCACAACGTATCTTACCTCTGTACTCCACCCCTCAAAGGGAGTGTCCTCTGCCTCAGCAGTGCCGATCAAGCTCTCTATCAATTGGGAACTGAACTTCAGCGAGGAAGGAGGGAACAGAAACAGAGCAGGATTATTCCCCAGAGGCCCTAGGGCCTGTTCTCCCATATTCCCTGGTGTTATCCTTTCTGAGAACTGTCTGATCAGTGTCTTCTGTGGGTTTCTGAGCTACCCACAACTTTCTAATGAATTCCATTCTTGGTTTAGTTGAGGTCAGAGTTGGTTTCTGTTGCTAGCATCCAGAGAATGTTGACCAATATAATTATTTTCCTGTTTATTGTTAAATATTCCAAAGAGCATGAATTTTAAAATTGCTATCTGTGTTGTATTCATTGGCTTGAGTGATGTACGTGCATGTGTGTGTGTGCTTGTGTGTGTGTTTTCCCAGTAGTGGTAGGACTACTTCCCATTAGTCTTTTCTTCTTCCTTGTGCTGATACTTTCTCCAATGATATTTTGAGAAAAACAATGGAAGAAGGAATTTAGGGTAAGTCTGCTGAGAAAGCATGCCTTAACACAGTCTTTTCATTGGCCTATTTCTTTTTTCTTTTGTGGGTAGTATTGTTTTTGTGTATTTGTCCCCTCAAAGCCTCATGCAGTCATTGAGGTGCAGTCCTACAGTTTGTGATTAATTCATGATCCAAGGCTGGGATTATGAGTCTGAGTACTGCTGGGATTATGGGTGTGAGTGCTACACCCAGCCTGGGCTGGTAACCTGAATGTAACATAAGAGAGACAGAGGGACAGGCCTGCTCTCTGTTGCCATTGTTGTCACTGCTTCTCCCTTTTGCTCTCTGCTCTTTGGCGCTGCCACGAAAGGTTCCCCTCTGCCCTGTGCCACTCTGCCTTGGGGCCAGCTGAGTATGGACTGAAACCTCCAGTAACTGTGAGCTCAATAAACCTTTCCTTCCTTCAATTGGGTGTTGGGTATTTGTCCTAGCAACAAGAGAAGGATAACTCAGACAGTGGGATTAAAGACTGAACCCAGGGCCTTCATGTTGAACTACAGTTCCACTCCATTTTATTTTTTTACTTTGAGACAAGGTCTCATTAAGTCATTGGTCTCTCTTGTCGCAAAGTTAATTCATTTGTTCTTTCTTTAATTTATTTTTATTTATTTTTTAAATTTTATTTATTTGTGTGTGTGTGTGTGTGCGCGCGCGTGTGTGTGTGGCCAGCTCAGCCCACCAGGGGGCGGGACGGGCTGGCATGTGGTGCTGGGGATTGAACCGCGGTCCCTGTGCTTTGCTAAGCTTGTTCTAAGTAGGTGCTTTAGACCACTGAGCCATCTCACCAGCCCTCTTTCTTTAATTTATAATCCATTCTTTTTTTTTTTTTTTTTTTTTTTTTGGTGGAACTGGGGATTGAACTCAGGCCTTGTGCTTGCCAGGGAAGCGCTTATTCTACTGAGCCATCTCCCCAGCCCCTATAATCCATTCTTAATATTGGAAGAATCTTTTAGGAATATTTATTTATTTTTTGTACTGGGATTGAACTTGGGACATTGCACTGCCAGGAAGGTGCTTAAACTGCTGAGCTATCTCCCCACCCCTAATGTTGGGAGAATTGTCTAGGGCAGGAATGGGAAGTAGGCTTCATCCTGGCACCCACCTTTAGTTGATTGGTGGAGGTAGCTTGGGTGTTGCATCCAGATACGGTGGGAAGAGTATGTCATAATTATTAGTATGACATGGCGCTGGCAATCAGAAGTCTGAGTATATGTGAACAATACTTGTCACTCCTAATGGAAAAACCCTCCAGTTTGAGATTTTTATTGAGATAGTTTCTGCTTACATACATCCACTGAAAGAGCTCATTTCACGTTTGGGTTTCTTCAAGTGTTAGAAAGCTTTTCCCTGGTAGTAAGTGCCGAGTGAGGGGATGGGTTTATTTAGATAAGCTGAAGCCAGTTCTGACTTTACCACTGACTAGTGATGTCATTCTAAGGGAATGGCAATCTCTTTTCACAAAGTTTCCTTCCAGGTTTAATATCCTATTGTTTGAATGAGTCGCTATGTGCCTTTAGGGCCATGGTCCTTGGTCCCAGGTACACAGTCTGAGCATGCGTGATGGCGCTTCAAGTATTTGAGGGTCATGCCTCCCTCAGTGTCTTTCAAGTATTTGAGGGTCATGCCTCCCTGAGTGTCTTTCAGGCTGAATATGACCAGTTATTTTACTCATTTCTCACAGGATAAGACTTCTTCTTTTTTTTTCCTTCACATTCTGGGTATTCTTTTCTGGATTGTCAAGTTTTCCAGTCTCTCCCTGAAAGTGTGACTTCCAGAATAGGACCCTGGCTAGTAGTGCAGAGTGAACAACACCGCAGACTCTCCCTGGCCCAGCAGCACCTAGCAAGGGAGGCAGCCAGTACAACTTCCTAAGACATGAGAATAGCTATATTTTGTAGCTTGCGAGGACCTTCCTTGAGACTCCCTACAAAACAGATGCAGAAAGCTGTTGAGTCAGTCTGGAAGGAGGCGGTGTTTCCCCAAGAGGTCAGGAAGGAACCAGAGCAGATTAAGAGAACAGGCGAGACTTCTACATAAACGTGGAAGGAAGATCTACCAGAGATGCCGTTAACGTGGATGGCAGTTTTCTTTTTCTCTTCCATCTCCTCCTCTTTTACCTTGTCCCCCATCATGCCCCTCCTCATTCTCACCGCTGCTGTCATGTCACATGACACCTTTGTCTTAGTAGTGCTTGTGTTTGTCCTTCACACAGGAACAAGTACAAAGGCTGTTGCTAAGATAAATTAAGATGAAAACACGGAAAAGAAACACAAGATTTGCAAGAGGCCCCTGTCTGACTTGGGGCTGAGTGGAAAAAAGAATGTGAACGCCATTTCTGGAGGAGTTGGGCAGCTGGACCAGTGGGGTTGGAAGGCTTTCTGTTCTCCCAAACCCTAAGGAAAAGGCACTCTAAGGACTACAGGTTTCTCATGCAATGTGGCTCCAGCCCATCTCTCCATGTCTTTCCCCTTCCTCTTCCTCTCTTTTGGACTCAGTCACCCTGGTCTGTTCTTTATAACATCCACAATGCTTCTGGTTTCCATGTTCTGGTCTTTCTTTCTCTGACAGTGAGACTCCTGGACTAGAACCCCAGCTAGTTCTGCCGTATGACTAAACCCATGTACTCAGCCTGTGCCTCCGGCACCTAGCACAATTGTTCAAATGTCACCTTTCAGAGCTAGAGAAATAGTTTGGCAGTTTAAGTGCCTACCTGTCAAGCACAAGGACCCAGATTCGATTCTGGGTACATCATGCTATGTCAGCCACCGAAACCAGGCATGGTGGTAACCACTGAAACCTGTAATCCCAGCACTGGGGAGGCCAAGACAGGAGAATCACTATGAGTCTGAGCTGTGTAGTGAGACCCTGTATCAGGAAAAAAAAAAAAAAAAAAACAAACCCTCATCTCTTCACAAGGTGACACCTTATCCAAAATAGACTCCTTTCCAACCCATTGCTTCTTAGTCCTTTACTCCGCTTTATCTTCCTTAACAGAAACCATCACCATCCCACATGCACTTATCCCTCTGATCTAGAGCCCAGACTCCATGAGGGCAAGACTTTGCCTTGCACTTGATTCCTCAGAGCCTCCATGCACACCTAGCATATTCTGAGTCCTCAGTTCAGATCTGTGATGGTGCAACTTTTGAAGCATAAATTTCAGTGCTTATTAGCACAGAAATTGATCTCACAGAAGCACTTATATTTCACTGGAAGGTTAATAGAAAATCACTGGGAAAAGGTGGTTTATTTGAGCAGTGTTTTTTTCAAAGAGTCCAACTCATCACAAAACCCCCATCCATACAAGGCCATCAAGAGTCCCCTTGTGCAGGGAGAACTATGGGTCCTATTCCATTTAGAACCTTTCTGATTTGAGGTAAAGCCCCAGGATCAAGGAAAGAAAGGTGGAGAGTGGTATATTTCTAAAGAAGTTATCATGATTCACTGCTAGAGCTTTCTTTCTCACATTACTTTCAGGGAGCTGCTGGGTTTGTATGAGTCATTGGCCAGCCATGAGGAATGCCTCTAGGTGACAGGGGAGGGCAGCACCTATTGCAGGCTGCACGTGGGCCTGAGTTGGCAACAGGTAGGCTTGAGAGAAGGAGACAGGGGAGAAGTGGGTGGAGGAAAGGGCTGCAGGCTAAGCACGTGACCAACAGGGGACCTCTGACCAAGCCAGGAAGGGAAAAGCCAGGAACAGTCAAATGGAGGGGTGGTGATGTGATCCTGGGAGCCAGTTGTGCTGGTTCTTCACCCAAAGTGACATCTTCCTGGGACCCTGGGAGGAGGGAGGAGTTCCTAAGACAATACTGACATACCAAGGCGAGAGACTAAAGCCACCGTGGACAAATACCCCAAACTTATCCTATTTCTGCAATGCTTCCTCCCTTTCTATTATCAAGACTTGAATGAGTCCCCAGAATAATATCCAGTTTCACTTTAGTGGGAATAACCATATAAGCTTTTTAACTACTAATCCCTGAATGTGAATTTAGCTCATCAAGTTTTTTCCAGTGGCAATAAAAAGTCCAGAGCTTTTCCAGATGGAGTTCCTCAGTGGCACAGTGTATGCTCCAGATGTGGCCACAATAACATTTTCCATCCCGTGTGTCAAAGTGATACTGACCATCTTCCCTTGAGCACCAGATTCTTTGTTTTTCCTGTTGCATTTGGAGGTGGGGGGAGGGCTTCTTTAATTGCTTCTGAAAGTCAATGTGGAAGCTTCTAAAATGCTTCCGCATCCTTCCCCTCCACAACTCTCCTCCTTTTCCTGGTTCTTCCCTCTTTAAGTATCAAGGATAAAGAATTCTCCTGAGCTCAGCTGCTTTGCTCCAAGTTGCATAAGAACTTCCTGTTGGCTAATTCAGTCCCTCATTTCCCAGCAACTGTGCTAGTGAATGAAGGCAGAACCTCCCAAGATCCTTTAGGATATGTGAAGGTGAATGGAAATGGTGAAGATGCCTACTCTTTGGTCTGTTTTTTATTTTTTGGCAGAACCGGGGATTGTACTCAGGCCCTTACACTTGCCAGGCAAGTTCTTATTCTATTGAGCTATCTCCCCAGCTCTGAAGATGCCTACTCTTTGGTGGCTCTCATTCTGACCATGGATGTAGATCATCATTGGTCATCTATAGCTGCAATTTGCTTTAAGGGACTACAAACTCAGGTGACCTGAATGTTGTTCAGGCCAGAAAGAGAAACCTTTGCCTCCCCTCTCACCTGCGCCTACTGTGGACATTTCTTATGACAAGACCTTGACCATCTGGAGCTGGAGATGCAGGGTGTGATTCAGTTTTCTTGCTAGTGCTGATGTCCAATGTCTTTTGGAGTCCAGGAGGCAGGCTATAGGCAATCTTTTGGTGCAGTTGGGCAATACTTCATGGGTAGTGGTGGGGGAGTGGATGCTTGGACAACCAATATCTCTGTGGATCCTGGAGAACTTCCAGTGTTCTTGAGGGAATGTTTTGTTAGGCCCATCAGGGCCAGCGCAGAGCAGAGTGTCAAAGGGGAGAATCATGGAAGTGTAGGCCAGTGCCTTTTGTCCTTCTAGTGTGACAGCTGTTCCGCATGGTCGTTGGAAGTGGAACGGGAGTCTCCTTGAAGATAGGAGGACTGTGGTTATCTTTATGGGGCTGTGTCCTGGGGCATCATGTGCTTGGACAGGGAGGCTTTTCAAGCCCCAGGTGTCAGCTTATCCTGTCTCTCAGGGCACTTCCTACACAAGGGGGTTCTCTGTCTCTGGAGCCACTTCATCAGTATGGTCGTTCTTTTTCCCTGGTAGGAAGATCATAAATGAAGTTATTCTTTCAACATTGAAAGTTTCCCTCATTAGTGTTGGGAATCTTGACATACTTGGCTTGGCCCGAGGCCTCTGAATCTTGTTTTCTGATACAAGGTTACCTTAGGCAAAGGTACATCTCTCCTTTGTTTCCAAAATCTTGAAAAAGGAGATCCTTTAAGAACGGAAGTTCTTCCTAATGTCTAACCTTGTTCTGCACCTGGGTATACATTGGGATACACAAGGTATAGAAAGATAGGGCTGTGATGCACCTGGTTAAATGACCTGTAGCAACATACCAGAGCTGGGGCCAGCCTCTGCACCCCCTGTGTGGCGCCCTTTAACTGTCCCAAGTGGTTGGGTCCAAGCTGCTCTTTTCTGAAACTTGCGAACATTAGGTTAAGCAAAAGAAGCGAGTTGTAAAGAGCCATGTGATTCCATTTACACAAAATGTCCACAATAGACAAATGTATAGACACAGAGAGTAGCTTGTAGCTACCAAGGGCTGTGAAAGGACTGGCAGCACCGGGAAGTGGTGACTATGAGGTTACAGGGTTTCTTTTTGGAGTAAATGGAAGTGTTCTCAAGCTGGTTGTGGTGATGGGTCCCCAGCTCTGTGGATATACTGAAAACCACCACACTGCGCACTTTAAATACCATATGTGAATTATACCTCAATAAAGCTGCTCTTTTTTTTCCTCATTTCTATTCTTAGCACAAATCCTGGAGGCTCTTGGGAGTGAAGGGCCAGGGCCAGACTCTCTCAAATAGAGAGAACGTCTAGTGAGCACAGCAGCAGCTGCTTCTCCTGCGCTTCCTGTCCGCAGGGACCTAGCAATCCCACTTCCCCTCCCTTCCCCCATACTTAGTGGCTGGGTCTAGACTCCATTTTCTAGGACACGCCCACTGAGAGGAGGTCTCAGTGCTTCTTCCCGCTGATCCCAGGACCAGCAAACCTACCCTGACAGGCAAGGATGCAGCCACAGAGCCCAGAAAGTTGGGTGGTTCTTGTGGGGATGGAGCATCCTGGAGCAAAGGCAGAGGAGGGTGCTAAGCTAGATGTAAAGCTCAGAACTTGCTCTGAGCTCTGAGTTTTCCCTTCCTTCCTATTCTCAAGAAAGTGCCATTGCAGCCACTAGCCAGGGAGCTTCTCCCAGGGAGCCATTTCCTAGGAACTGTAGGTGAGAAGGGGTTGGGATTCACTCAACAAATGCTTACAATACCAGCTATGTTCCCAGAAACTGTTATATTCTTGGAACAACTGGGTATACTCTAGTGATACAGCCTTTGCCTTTGAAGGGGCTCAGAATTAATGGGAGGATAGGTATAATGAATTCTGTGATTTGGCCACACAGTGGAGATTAAAGGAAGGACATTAGTCAAGTGTCATAGCACATGCCTGTAATTTCAGAATCCCAGCACTCTCAGAGGCTGAGGCAGGAGGACACAAATTTGAGCTTAGCCTGGGCAACTCAGCAACTTAGTGAGACCTTGCCTCAAAATAAAAAGGGCTGGCGATGTGCCTCAGAGTGAAGGCCCTGGGTTTAGTCTACAGTACTGAAAGGGGGCATATTAGCCTGCCTAAAGGTGAGTCATAAGGGAAGGTTAGGGCAGGATCCCTAAGGCATACCCATTTGGCAGGTTGAATAGGAGACAGTCAAATAGGCAAGGGGAGGTGTGGAAAATCATGGCAATTTGTTCTAAGCAGAGGGAATAGAATGCAAAGGCCTGGAGATGCATGTAAGAGAGTGGATTACCAGAGAATTTTGAAAGAAATGCCAAGCAGTTCAGTCTGGTTGGAAAACAAAATGTGAGATGGAGGGGCTAAGAGCTGCAGCAGGAGAAGTGTGAGGCAGGTTGCCTGAAGCTAAGGAAGAGCTTTGAGCCCACCTCCTCCCAACATACTCATGCCCACTGAGCAGGATGCCTACCTGAGCAGGGGCCACTGTACCGCACGGAGAACACACCCACCAGCAACAGGAACAGTGAGACAGGCACCACCACCAGCAGCATATCTTTGTAGGAGGACTTCCCTGAAGCTGGATGTGAGGGGTGGCATCAGAGGTGGGCTTCCTGCTTCCTAATCCCTTAGCCACTGACCACCAGCCCTTGGCATACCTGCTTCACGATGGCAGCTCTCCCAGGGGGTGACTGTGGCTGAGTCCCAGCTGACGGGGTTGGAGACAATGCAGGAATAGGCCGTATCCTTGTCCCTCAGTCCCAGAGAAAGACTCAGTACCTGTTGGTCTGTGAAGAGGCCGTGCCTTCCAACATCAAAGTCCATCATTCCTTCCCGTCGCCAGCTGTAGGTTATGTCACTGATGTTGGGGGCCCAGCAGGACAAGAAGACCTGGCAGGTATTGGGAGGCTGAGCATTATCTTCCACAGCGATGAAGACTTGAACTGTGGGCCTGGGAACCGCATCTGTGCAAAAACAGGAGAGCGGGTGTTCTAAGACCTTGCTTGGCTTTTCTCTGCTTACAGGATTTTTTTTTTTTTTTTTGTATTTTAGGGAGGTGTGTACAGAATGTTCAGGGTCTCACTACTAGATCCTACTTGTAGTGATCTGCCTGTTTACAGCCTCCCAAGAGCTGGGATTACAGACGCATGTCACCATGCCCAATCTCAATTGTAGTCTCAGTGCACCCTGGGGGTGCGGCCAGATAGCAGGCTGGGGAATCAAATCCCTGGTGCCTGAGCTCACAGGATTGATAAGTCCTTAATCTTCTATTTGAAATCTTTCATGAAATGATTTCTTTCTTTTATGAGCAGAATATATTTATTGAGAGAAAGAAAGCTCCTGTCCAAGAGAGGGACAGGAGGGAGGCCCGAGCAAGTTGTTCCCCTAACTTTTTTTTTTTTTCGGCCCCATGAAATGATTAGTGTCAGCCTCTGTAGCTATACCTCCTGCTTATCTTCCCTGTTCATCCTAATAAATTGTCAGTGCTCCCAATCATGCCATGCTGTTTTATGACCTTCATGCTTCTACATAGCTTGTATGTACGTATGTTTGTTTTTCTTTGCTGCCTTCCTAGAAAACTCCTATGTATCCCTCAAGGCCCACCTGGACCCATCGCTTAATGCTTCGACTATGAAGTCTTCCCTGATATTCCAGGCGTGGCATTTTTTGCTCCACACACTCTCTTCACAGCGCTTCCCTTACCATGTGTTAGTCAGCAAGCGATGACAAGTATTTATTAAGTCAGGCAAGGAAACAAACACATTCTTGGACTTTCCCAGCTGACAAGGGATTATGAATGCTAAGGAAATAATTTCAAGGGTGTAGAATGCTATGAAGGGGAGCCCACAGGTAGGGGCTCTGGTTTGTTATCCTGATAACCTTCTCTGTCGAGCACTGGCCAGGAGGTGCATGATATCTGGGCCATTGAACAAACTGGTGTCCTGGTGTCCTAAATGGTGGCTTTGTGTTCCTAAAGAGATTGATGAGTAAATCTCTGTGCTGTCAGGGCCAGTGGGAGAGCATTCTGGCCACAATGGGAGGGCTCGGTCTCTGACAGCATTCCAAAGTCAAGCAGAATAAAATCTCATTAATGTCAGCTCAATCTGGTGAGATTTGTGATATGGAAAAAAAAAAGAGAGAAATGATTTGCTGGGCACACTAATAGTATAAACAAAGATTACTGGGGGGATGTTTACACCACTTAAGAGGACAAGCTGCTTCCAAACATGAGCAGGCGCAGTGGAAATACCCATTGACATTTCTAGTAACTGATCCGCTAATTCAAATCAGTCTTATCTATTGTCAAAGCAGAGCTCCTAAGGACGGCTGCTTGGCAGCTTCCTGCAATTAGTTCTAATCACGCTATGTATTTGGAAGCAATAAAACAGCAATTTCCTTGAAATCTGTAATTCAGATGCTGAGAACAAGGCCTTTGAGAGCTTAGCGGTGTGGGTGCTGCATGCATTACCACATTCAATGTCCTCGTTTCACATGTGCAGCGGCTGAGACTCAGAATGGGGACAAGGCTCAGGGCTGCAGGTGTGGCTGCCCCAGGTTGTTCATTGCACAAGGGCATTGGACTCAGAGGGCTGCAGGGCGCTGAGACCCAACCAACATTGTGCTTGTCACAGAACGACACCCTGCACCCTGGCTGAAGGTTTCCCAGAGCCGGAAGGGCTGTCTTTAATTGGACATCTGCACCCTGCCTGGCCACCGGGGGCATCTAGGTAGCTGCTTCTTGAGGTCCCGGACAGTTCTGAGATTGCTCGCAGCCTTTCTCCCTCTCTGCTTCCCTCCCCTCAACCTCTATCCCTACTTTTCATTCTTCCATCAGACCACTCCCTCCTTACTCTGAGGTTTTACTGAAGCAGAGGTGAGGGGTCACTCACAAGTCTTTCCCAAATCCTTGGGTAAATTAATAGGGCTAAGCAGTTAATCTTTCTTGACCAGCAAAAGTGTGTGTAGGTGGAGGAGGAGTTGTTGGGGGAAAAAGAGACCTATCCTGTCCCTAACTAATTCAGCCATTCCAGCTGGGGTGTCAGCAGCTCTGTGTGAATGATTCATCATGTCCTAGATCCTCCTGGGACCAGAAGGTCCACCCAGCTGGGTCTGCCAACCAAAGAAGTTATAAAAGATAAAGAGTTGGTTTTAGCCCTTAAGTTGTGAGCTGGTTTGTTTTGCAATGATGAATGACTGAGAAAATCCATGAAAAATACATAGTTAGACTCTCTAAGAGACCTCTTTCAGGCATATGGGGCTGGTAGTGTATGTCAGAGGAAGAGCAGGGCTGGAGTCAATCTCTAGTAATAAAAATAAATAAATGCATAAACAAGCAAATAAATGAATGGATGAAGCACACTTGAAACTTCTAGTCTAATTTGAATTTAATTTGTATGTAAAAGTCAGTTATATTGTAGTCTAATATGCAACACTTTTTCTTCCTCTGGTGGATGAGATAATGCCGTGTGTTGTCATCTCTGAGGACACCTCAGAACTGGCAGCCAGGTCAGGCTCTATTCTACATTCCTTTTCAGACACACTGTATTTTGCCTTGCTGGTGTTATGCAGGATAATACTGGGATGCTTACTAAATAAATGAGGAAAATGAAGGTCAGGAAGGCTGAGCACTGTGTCCAAGGCCACAGAGCCAGGAAGCGATCCAGTTGGAGTTCAGACAAGGACTGCAGGATGGCAAAGCTCAGCTGCCCAGGTAGGATCTTGCAGGGGAGCATGTGGGGGATTTTCTTAGCTGCGACTGAAGCACCAGCTGTTCCCTGAGTTGGACACATGGCCTGAGGCCAGAGGTTTTGGAATCTGGTTCTTCCAGCTGGTGGGGCCCAGTCTGTGTTTTCTGAGAGGAGCGGAAGAAGCCAGGGTGGGGTGCACTCACCATACACCTTGAGCTGCAGGGTACGGGTCAAGGTCCGGCCACTGGTGTCCACTATGAGCACGGAGAAGTTGCCACTGTCCCCAGCCTGTAGGGGACCGAGCTCCAGGCTGAGGTTGTGATGCAGCTGGGCTCGGCCCAGGAAGCGGGAGTGGTACAGTGTCTCAAGGGAGCCCCGAAAACACGTGGCCAAGAGCTCCTCCAAAGGCCAGAGTGATCGCCAGATGGCCTCGCGGACTTGGAAACCAGGGGGCTGCTCTGCTGCCAGCAGCACAGAGCCCCCCACCTTGCTCAGCACTTGGGCACCTGCAACTGCAATGGGGAGTAGTGATGGAAAGACAGAGACCAGTTACTGCCGGCTCACGCTCTACCTCCCCATGCTGCACACAGCTGGAAGGGCTGTATCCACCCATAAGGCCTCCACTGAGGGTGGGAACACCATGCCAGGGAATGAGGACCAAACAGGCAGGACGGGAACCCAGCCACTGTGCTCAGACAAACAATCAAAATAAATAACATCAAGTACCATGGCAGGAAGAATGGGGTGTCCTGGCAGAACACAGGTAGGGAGACGGGGACACTCATCAGCCTTGAGGGACTCAGAGAGGAAATGGTTAAACTGAGACCCGGAGGAGGAACAGAATCAATCAGACCCGGCAGGAGGGCTCCCTGGAGCAGGGACCAGATAGGGAACAGCAAGTACACAGGCCCCAGGGAGAGGGCTGTGCATGGGGAACAGAAAGTGTTCTCTGCAGGGGGTGGAGGAAATGACGCTGCATGCTTGGCCCTGAAAGCAGCCTTGGAGCTTGGCTGTTGTCAGAGCAAAACTACCTCTTGGATAGATTCTTAAGCAAGAGGGTGACACAATTAGGTTCATAATTAGGAAGACCATTCCAGCAGAGGTGTGGAGTGTACCTTGGAGATAGGGCAAGACTGAGGATGATTATAGTAACTCAGGGAGAGGGTAAGCTGAGGAAGGGGGCCAGGAGCATGCGAAGAAGTGGGAGAGACTGGAGTACTGAGATTAAGATGGTGTGATAGTCAGGGAGGGTTGGCGATGGATTAGATCTAGGGAGGGAAGGAGACAAGGAAGTTGGGGATATGGCCCCTAACCCCAGATGCCAGTGAGTGCCAGTGGAACTGAAACGGGAGAAGGAACACACAAGAGGGAGTGATGGTGAGATGGCCAGTTGTTGAGTTTTGTCAAAACTGTATTTGAATTTGAGATGTGAGCGAGACACCTCCTTTTGAAACACACTCCCCATTTTCCCCAGCTCATTTCCATTCAACCTGCAGGTGTTACCACCTGCTCCAGTGTTCCCAGACCTTCCTGCTGGTCACAGCCTCTTTCTCTGTGTTCCCGCAGTGATCAGGGTTCAGCACCAGGACTACCGTGGCCTTTCAATGTTATTGTCTATCTGAGACAGTGTCTGCCCCCAGCCTGTGAGGTCTTCAAGGACAATTTCCTTTTTTTCTTCTTTGTTCACTCTGTTTAGAAGCAGCCTACAGAAAAGCTCAGTGAATTGTACTGAATTTGCTTAACATGCACCTCATATCTGCGCACAGCAATCTGCACTGGGGTGTAGAGTCAAGTAAGGGCAGATGTGCTAAGAGTTGGTTAAGGAAAGGTGCTCTGCTTGATTCCTCATGCGGTGACAACCACCCAGGTCCTCGTCTGCCTTACTGCCCTTCCTAGTCCCTGTCCTCTCCATCCTGATGGACGATGGCTTCACAGTTAGCACAAAGTGAAGCCAGCACAGATGGAGAATTGCACTGGATCTCTTTGGAGACCTGTGCTCTATTCTGTCCTGGCTCTGCCACAAGCCAGCTATGTGACCTTCCGAATATCATCCCCCTCTCTAAGCTTCGGTAAAACCAGAGGGCTGCACAGATCCACTGTATGGATCTCATTTGACAAGAAGACATTTTTAAAGAATTATTTAATACCTGAGGATACAGTTTGGTGGTAGTGTATCTGTTTAGCATATATAAAATATTTAAAAATCCATATGTCTAGTGTCTAGAACAATATCCTTACATGTCCAGTGATTGAATTATTTTGTGAATCAAACACACTGAGGTATTTTTGAAGAATAAGGTGTGAATGTTCATACACATTAAAAATAAAGACATCAGGAGGGTCCTTGGGAACCTTTGGTGTCAGGAACTTGGGAGCAGACACTGCACAGAGCAACCTCAAAGTCTCTAAGAGTCTCTGATATAAACAATGTCTTGGTTCCTATCACACCCCATGACCCCCATCCTTGACCTTGCAGTGGCTGACTTACATCATATTGAGTATTTGCTAATCAAGGAGGGGAATACAGGCATCAGAAGACAGGGAGGGGATTCTGCAGGTTTGAGGAGACCCACATTTTAACCATTCCAATGTCACCCCATTGTTGGGCACATTCACATTCAGTGGGCCGCACTTAACCTTCTCCCACTTCTCCCTGCTTAACCCCCACTTGCCCTTTTGCAGGCTGCTTGTAGAACCCTAGCTTTCCCACAGACTTCTCAGGTGGGAGGGAACCCCATGCAACCCTGCCCTCCATTCCTCTACTCTGCCCAGGCTGCATGTAGGCTGTTCACATGTTGACACTGGAGGTCCTCACGATCCAACTTTCTCTTTAAATCAACAGTTCCACTGGCTCAGTTCTCCTTGTCTTGGGCCACATAGCACAGCTTGAGTGTCATGGGCTTGGCAGCTCCTAGACCTGCTGCCTCTTCCACTCAGGGCCCTGCTTCCCTGTGTGTCTGCCTAGCTTTAAGTGGTTCCCAAGGTCTTGCTTCACTCTTCTCTGCTCTGCCTTAGCTCTTGAGTTTTCACTTGGCCTGGCTGAAGAGGTCCTAGAGGTCTGGCAAGGGGAGCTGGGGAGGGGCCTGCCCCACTTACCTTTCCAGAGAAGCAAAAGACACAGGAACCACATGGCCATCCTCCTCTGGAGAGACAGGAAAGCTCGCTCCACAGTCGGAGCCCAGAACATCCCAGACCCACAGGATGTGAGGAAGGAGCTGTGGTCCTTCTGGAAAGTCCCATGTTTAGAAGGAGGAGGAATCTTGACTCAGAATGAGATGCCCCGAAAGTGAAAACCTCCCAAGTAAAGTGGAAGTTGGCTGCAGGCCTGGTTGGGCTTTCAGGAACAGATTCTTGTAAGTCATCCTCTTTCCTGTGCTCATGGTTGTCTAATGCATGGTGACAAGTGCATGCACACAAGCCCACATGCTCCTAGCTGCCTGCCACAGGGCCTGCCTGCGCCTGACCCTGCCTTGGCTATCTCTGCGCTCCATCGTGGTCACAGAGATCCCTGAAAGCTGCAGCTCCCGATCAGTTACTTCTCCACTTAAATTTCTTCCATGGCCTCCTGCTACTCTCAGGATGGAGACAGAACTCTTGGCTTTGCATGCAAGCGTCTTCTGCTTTCCTGGCTTAGCATGCAATGTTCTGCTTTTCACAGCTGGTTTCTTGCCTCCACTCAGCTCCTTGGCATCCTGGTCACAACAGCTCTTTCCAGAACCATCCATTTTCACACACTCGTTATACTTCTTCCCCTACGAGGCATGCTGCCTCAGTTGTCCTTACAGACCACACACAGCACTGGGGTGCCCCATGCTAGCCTTCAGATTGCTTGCTGACCATGGGCTGACCACAGGTAGAGTGAGAACTTCCAGTCCATGCCCATGTGCTGCCTACCTTGCCCTTAGCTCCGTCAGTGTATGGCTGGCACCAGGCTGTGTAGCTCTCAAGGCCTTGCATTCATCCGAGGGCTCAGTACTATAGAGATAGTTCTTGAATATCTGAGATGCAAGTGAATGAATTCTAGACATGGTTCCTCAGTTTGCTTTGTGTAGGTTCCACCATTCTTAGGAAGGCTTTCTTTGCAGCCCTTGGAAAGATGGAGAAAGTCAAAGCCAGAGTGAGGTCAAATGCAGTTGGCCTGTTTTTGTTCTTGCTTCCGGTTACTTGTTTTCTTATATCAGGGAAGGCTTTTCAAGATGTTGGCCCAGGGCCGGCCTGATAGCTCAGTGGACTAAAGTGCCTGCTTAGGCAGAGCACAGTGGCTGGGGTTCAAACTCTGGCATGCCATGCCGGCCCTGCCTGTGGGGTGCACTGAGATGGTGATTGAGACTGGGTGTGGTGGCGCACACCTGTAATCTCAATGCTTGGGAGGCTGAAAACAGGAGGAACACTATGAGTCTGATCTATGCAGTGAGATCCTGTAGACCCTGTACTAAATACAGAAAAAAACTAAAATAAGATGTTGTCCGTGAGGAATATTTCTGATGGTCCCAGTGTGGCTCCTTGTGTCTGGTCCTGTGTAGCTCCTGACCTGTCACTCAAACTGGCCCAGACTTGGGGCTGAAGGGGGAACTAGGCAGATACGATGTGGCATGGAGTCCTTGGCTCTACATACTCTCAGCTGAAATGTAGAGAGGATGTGCTAGGGAGGGTGAAGATCTGCCATCTGCAGGCCTGCTCAGCACCAGTGGGCCACAGGTAGTGCCTGGGGAGGGGCTGGAGAAAAGTCATCAGCTGGGGAGCTGAGTTGGGGGTGGAATTTCAGCTACATCCTAAAGATGGAAGAGCAAAAGGAGAAGACCACGGTTGGGTACATCCTGGGCATGAGGGCAAAGGGGGCTGCTCAGAACCTCCAGCAGGGGAAATAAGGTGTAGGTTCCAGGACAAAGAGGGATAGCAGGAAGGAAATCCTTAGGGCTGAAGTGGAAGGCTAGTGGGAAGACTGGGATCAGGTTATGCAAACTTTATGCATAAGTCCTGGGTTAAATTAATCTGGAGAGCAGGGGCTCAGGCTCTTTGCATGAATAGGTTCTCAGGAATTCTGTAGCTGGAGCCCTAGGAATCCATTTCTCACTCATATTCTGCCTGCGCAGCTAGTGGGTCCAGGGAACACTCCAAGGAACATTGCTCAGAGCGAGGAGGCCTGCGCATTTTGAGCTGGGACAACTTCCTACTGGTGTGAGAACAGTGCAGGACAGGGAGGAAGAGGAAGAGAAGGTGGGAAGCCTGGGGAAGGGCTACTGTGATGGGGCCTAAGCTAGGAGGGAAATATCTGTAGTTAAGACAAAAGGACAGAGCAGGAGTCCTGGCAGCGCGTGGAGCTGCCTCGGTTAGAAAGGGCAAGGGAGGGGAGTAATTTATGACTCTATTGTCAATTCTGTCATTCATTCATCAGGCATTTATTGAGCATCTACTTAGTTGCCAGGTTGTGGGGACACAGAGATGAAAGGCTTAGCCCCTGCCCTTAAGGAGTTGGAAGTTTAGAGGAAGAGAGGGAATAAGGAACCCAATAATTACAACCGATGTGGCAAGAACAATGCTGGAGTGTGCCCAGGGTGCCCTGGGAGGCAGAGGGCAGAGACCCGTCACACCCTCCAAGCACCAGTGGTCTGAGTAGATGGAATGATTCTGGGGTATCACAACTGGGACGGGGTGGGCTGAGGGGTGCAGGAGTGAGGGCAGCACGGCGCCCAGATCCTGAGTGCCTTCGGAGGTGAAGCAGGCACTCCTTGCCCCTCTTAGCAGAATTAGTTGTCCAGAGTGGTCCTCAAACACTCCCTCCACCCCTTCTCCAAACCCTCTTGGTTGGGGGGGGTGCGGTGGGATTTTGCAGGAGCTGAGGAGTGGAAGAGGAGGTTGTGTGAAGACTGGAAAGTACCCCACCTTCCCAAAAGGAAAGTATCCCACCTCCCCAAAAGGAAACCCTTGGGGCTGGTGGTGCGACAGCTGGAGAAACTGGAGCGGATGCTGCCTCTCAGGTGCTGCTGAAGGGTTAAGCCTGGCAGGCAGGTTCTCCCCACCACTGCTAATCACAGGTTCACACCACATTAATTACCCAGCCACAGGGGGGAGTGCGCTGGAGTAAATTAGCTGGTGAGTTCAAAGGGGCCACTCCCGCATTCCTTAATTAAGAGAGCAGCTGGCAGCGGTGCTGCTACCCCACCTCCCTGGGGCCTTTCTGGGCAGCCAGAGTGGAGTCAGGCGGAGTCTGTGCGTGAGGTGGCTAGGAGCTCCCTCTTCCATGTGGAGCAGCCTGCGCCTCTCCATTAGCCCACCTCCAGGGCGGGCTGCGGGAAAATGGTGGAACAAGAGTTAAGCACGGCCAAGCCCTTGGCCGTCTGACTGAGTTATTAACCCTGAGCTGCTGGTGCAGGTTCAGGCTGGGTGGAATTTGGCTGAGGGTGTGATGGCCAAGCTGTGACTTCTGCGTCCTGTGCTGGAGGGTAGAAATGGGCCACTCTTCAGGCGGGGAAGGAAGAGAAGGTGGGGTGCTTGAGGAGGTGGGAGAGGGGGCAGCTGGGCAGGACAGAAGGTCAAGATGGAACTGCCACAGTCAATGAGAGACACATTCTGTAGAGTTTTGGGGAACCAAGGATGCTGGGAGAGGATAAGGGTGTTCTGGGGAGTGGGTAGGCATTTGGGTGCTATCCTGAGGAGATCTGTGGGATGGGGGCTGAAGGGAACAGGCTCAGTGGAATTTACAGGAGGTTGTTGTTTTGGACTGAGGTCTTCCTGCACGGGCCCTACCAACTGAAAAAGAATGGAGTGAGCCCTGCCAGTGCCACTACCAACCAGGCCAGGCTCCAGACAAAGCGAGAAGCCCACAGTGGCCAGCCGGAAGGGCAGCCATTCACCTGAGCCCAAGTGTGTCTCATCAGCTTTAACCCCAGTAGGAGAAAAACACTATGCTTTTGGTTGTTGTACTTTCTTCAGCCCTTTCTGCCTGTAGAGTCCAGTCCCCCTGTCCATCTTGGGGGCAAGCCTTTACTAAACCTTTAGGTGAGTCGCTGCCCCTTGTTAATGAATTGTTAATAAAAGCCAATCAGATCATTAGCCATATCTGTTGAGGTTTGATTTTTTTAACCCCATGGTAAGTCCCAGCCTTCATCTATCAGCAGACACCATGTCCCTAGTTCCCGGGGCAAATGTCCTGTCTCATTTCCATGTCACCAGCTCAGGGAACTATGTAATGTCAGGAAGGCTGGGTTTGAGGCAGAATGTTCTGGAAGGGAGCTCTGCCTCTGTTATGCTTTAGAAACAGTCAGGGTCACTCAGTTTCCATAGGTGTGAAGTGGAGGTCCCTTACCTCCCCTGAGCTGCGCTGGCACCACCTTGAGCCTCATTTCCTTTCTCAGTTTCTGCCTAAAATGTCTCTCTTCTCTTCCCTGGCCTGGCCCTGCTGGAAGCAGGCAGAAGGAATGGAATCACTCACGAAGTACAACACAGCTGGAGAGGGAGAAACCAAAGAGAGAGAAGAGCGAGTGGGCTGGAATACCGGCAGGGGAGCGGTGGGAGGGGTTCCCTCTGCCTTTGAGGCAAGACACAGCTTCCCTGAAACTTAAAGAAAAGCAGCTTAAAAAGAAACCAAGCCACAGTTGTGCTTTATTGAAGCAGAGAGGGGCAGGCTAGGAGCTCTTTCACGCAGTCACTCATTCACCAAATGTACGCTAGACGGGGTTCCCACCTTGTGCACGCGAATGCCCCCAACAAACACTGATAGAGCTTCAAGCATGTTTAAGCTCTATGAGGTCAGGAGCTCAATGCCAATGAAGGCAGTGACCATGTACTGATGATAAAAGGAAAAATCACTATTGATTTGTGCCCCACATGGAAAGAATTCCACACACAAGGAGAACGTCAGCTGTGTTTTCAAAGTCTGAGAGAAATCCTCTGAGCAGCACGCAAGGTCTGCTGCTGAGGATCACTCGTCCTGGTTCCAGGTCCTGGCAGCTGCAGCTGCTTCCTACAATGCAGGGGGAAATGCCAGCATTTGGGGGTGAACACAGCATCTCCATTTCAGATGAAAACGCTGGGTCTTCCCCACACTGCATAGACAGTCTTTAGCCAGTGTCCTCGAAGTTTGTACAAAAGGGACGGACACAGAGCTGTTTAGGGGATGTTCACTCACAGCTGTTTGGGGGATGCTCATTTAAATAAAAATACAGACTTGTTTTTCCTAGCCAAAT